GGGGTGGGTGGATCACCTGAGATCAGGAGTTTGAGACCAGCCTGGCCAACATGGCGAAACCCTGTCTCTACTAAAAGTGCAAAAATTAGCCAGGCATGGTGGCACGTGCCTATAATCCTAGCTACTCAGGAGGCTAAGGCAGGAGAATCGCTTGAACCCAGGAGGCGGAGGTTTCAGTGAGCCGAGATCATGCCACTGCACTCCAGCCTGGGCTACAGAGTGAGACTACGTCTTTTAAAACAAACAAACAAACAAACAAACAAACAAAATAATAATAAAATCACAATTAAAAAGTATAGTATAGCAAATATGTAAACCAGTAACATAGTTGTTTATTATCATTATCAAATATGGGTTGAGTATCCGAGGTCTGAAAAGTCTAAAATTTGAAAATCTAAACCTTTTTGAGCACTAATATGATGCTCCAAGGAAATGCTCGTTGGAACATTTTGGGTTTCAGGATTTTTGGATTTGGGATACTGAACTTATAAGCATATACAGTGCAAATATTCCAAAATCTGCAAAAATCTGAAATCCAAAACACTCCTTCTCCCAGGCATTTCAGATAAGGGATACTAAACCTGCATTGTGTACTCCACATAATTGTGTGTGCTATACCTGGATACGACTGGCAACACAGGTTTGTTTACATCAACATCACCACAAACGCATGAGTAAGGACTATGGATATTATGATGGCTATGAAGTCATTAGGTGATATGAATATTTTAGCCCAATTATAATCTTATTGGGCCACCATCATATATGTAGTCTGTTGTTGACCAAACATTGTTATGTGACACATGTCAAGATTTCTGGTAGTTAGCTGTTTTTCAGGGAATTATTTGTGAGCCTTAAAATTGGTTTCCCTTATTCCTTGTTACTCAGCTGGTTGTGCTAAGAAATGTTATATTTGTTTGGAGGATTCTTAATAGACAGTTTTGTCCCATTTTTCTTTGCATATTTTCAACAAATATGAGCATCTCCTGTTTTCCAGACCTTGTGCTATGCCTTGAGGATACAACTGTGAACAAAACAAAGTTCCTGTCTTCATAGAGTTTGTATAAGAAAGATAGGCAATAAACAAATATATGTCAAATACTGATGAGTACTGTGATTAAATCAGGGTAAAGGATAAAAAGTGATATACCTAAAATGTGGCTTTATCATGTACACCTTCACAAAAAACCGTATCAGCATAGCATGATCTCAGATATGTAAGAAAAAAATACCAGGAATAAAGGCTGTTAAAGAAGTATGCTGAAATATTCATAAGGGTTATTTCTGATAGTGAGATTTAGGGATGATTTTTTAATTATACTTTTATATATTTTTCCAAAGCATTCATTACCTTTATTCTTGGGGGAGAGGCGGTACTAATGAGGTCATGTGTGCACCTAAAGCCCGGTTCTGCTGGCTCATAGCTCCTGTGTGCACTAAGAGGAAGAAAGTCACCTGCATGGTTTCTCTAAAAGTGTTTCTGGAACTCCCCCCAGCAGGTGTCTTACATGTGATCTGAACAAGTTCAACTCAGTGAGTCCTTCTGCTTTCTGAACAAGCCTCTGCCTCCTGAACAGGCCTCTCTGCCTCATATCAACCATGATCAGTATCTGAGAAGGTTATTTGTCGTTCATCTAAGATTTGTCTTTCCGCAGTGTTTAGTGCTAAATAGGTCATTTATGAGGAAAGTGTAGAAAAACTCTTTAGTAAGGTACTATATATTCTTCATATAGAAGAGTAATTTTTTAAATTAATTTTGTTCACAATATATGCTTCACAATATTCCAGTCAAATCTGACCTAACTCAGGCTATTGCACACATGTTGTGACTTGTAAAGGCTGTGGGACAGGACAGAGAAAAGGCATGAAGCACATTTTCAGTCCCACAAGTGAAATGAGCCCAACTCTTTCCCTTGTCAGCAGTCAGGGAGAGCATCTTCACCCCACTCAGGCTGTGCCTCAGCTACCTCAGCATCAGAAATAACAGGAGCCGGGCAGGTGGCCTATAATCCCAGCACTTTGGGAGGCTTAGGCCGGCAGATCGCTGGAGGTCAGAAGTTTGAGACCAGCCTGGCCAACATGGTGAAATCCTGTCTCTACTAAAAATACAAAGAATTAACCAGGTGTGGTGGCACACACCTGTATTCCCAGCTACTTGGGAGGCTGAGGTACGAGAATCACTTGAATCTGGGAGGCAGAGGTTGCAGTGAGCCGAGATATAACAGGAAAAGGAGAGAAAGAAAGGAAACCCTGAAACAGTACCTACGATGAGGCTGGGCCCCAGGCTGAGGACTTGGCACATATGTATCAATGAAAAGGCCGTCTTTTATAGCTAGAATTGTAGGATTTCCTATAACCCTGAACTTCCCAACATCCTCTTCAGGATCAGAGTTGCTGGTATATCCTTAAAGGCCTGATTTTTCTGTGCTTCTACCCAGTCCTTTTTCCCACTCGGGCTCCCCCTCGTCTGCGGCTGTCTTGGTAACGAAATGTTTGGTGACAAAGCAAACAAAAATAGTGTATCTTCTTTGCTCCTCTTATTATGTCCAAGATATACTCATTTTTAGAGATATGGGCACACTTTACACATTCAAATAGGTGGGTAGGCACACTTTTGTTCTAAGCATAGTTTGAGGAGAACTCTTTTTTTTTTTTTTTTTTTTTTTGTTGAGACAGAGTTTCACTCTGTCACCCAGGCTGGAGTGCAGTGGCGCAATCTCAGCTCACTGCAGCCCCTACTTTCCAGGTTCAAGTGATTCTCCTGTCTCAGCCTCCCGAGTAGCTGAGATTACAGGCGTGTACCACCACGCCCGTCTAATTTTTGTATTTTTAGTAGAGACAGGGTTTCACCGTGTTGGCCAGGCTGGTCTCGAACTCCTGACCTCAGGTGATCTGCCCGCCTCGGCCTCCCAAAGTGCTGGGATTACAGGCGTGAGCCACTGTGCCCGGCCTGAGGAGAACTTTTCTATGCCTCTTTGTCTTGCCTTCTCTTTTGCAGTTCTTTGCTTGCCTTCCTTTCCAACTGTTTGCTTTGTTTCTTTCCATCTTCCTGTATCAGGCAGCAATTCCTATAAACATTATTTGATGTTATTGGTAGTCCTTGCACCTGAATAGGTGAAACCTATCTCAGAGTAGATCATGCATTCCTGCTGAAAATGTTAATCTACTTGGTAAGTGCAATGTGATGGAAGAAACAACTTCTCAGGCCTGTGAAACATTGATTAAATATACTTTTTTGTTTCTTTGTTTGTTGGAGACAGACATGCTCTGTCACCCAGGCTGGAGTGCAGTGTCGTGATCTCGGCTCACTGCAACTTCCGCCTCCTGGGTTCAAGCAATTCTCCTGCCTCAGCCTCCCAAGCAGCTGGTGTTACAGGCATGTGCCACCATGCGCAGCTAATTGTTTGTATTTTTAGTAGAGACAGGGTTTCTCCATGTTGGCCAGGCTGGTCTCGAAATCCTGGCCTCAAATGATCTACCCACCTATGTTTCCCAAAGTCCTGGGATTACAGGTATGAGCCACTGCACCTGGCCCATTAAATATACTTTTGTAGTTACTGTTCCTTCTGCCTGGTAGCCTGGTTTCTTTTCCCCATGTTTATCTATTTGGTAAACTCCATTTCTTATTCAAAAGATTTTATTTAAAAGCTAAATGTAGTGGCTTCTTTGCTTCTTTTCCAGATTCACCCAGGCAGTTAGTGTCTCCCACTACAAGTTTTTCGTACCTCTCTCATGACCCATATAAGACTGTTTTATTATTATTTGTTTACATATCTTTTACTAGACTGTGAACTTTTTCAAGGGTAGGAATTGTATCATTTTATTTTCTCAGACTTGGTATATGGTCAACAAATGTTTGTTGACTGTCCGTTCTTCTTTGGATAGGATTTATTCCCTGTTTTCAAGGACCTTACCATCTAATAAGGGTGATCAGTTACAGGTAACCATGGTACAAACTAGAATGCAATTAGTGCCGCAGAGAAGGAAAAAATTACTTCTTGCTGTGGGAAGTAGTGACACCTAAGTTACTCCAGGGTTTGTTGATGAGGTAGCATTTGAAATGGGCCTTGAAGGATGAGTATGAAATGTGGCATTAGTGGCATTGTATTAGCTTTTTGTACTTCTTGATGTCTTTATTAGCGGTAATTTAAGTTCATAGAATATTATTTGACATGTATTCCAAAGCCTTACCTATAAATCATCTAGTTATTACTTTACCTATACTTTACCTATAAATCATTACTTTATTTGCTATTACTTTACCTATAAATCATTCATCAGTTGATTTATACAAAGGAATACATCTTGTGGGGTTATCAGTATACACTCTGTCTTTGTGGGTGTCAGTCATAAATTCAGGAATTAATATTTGAGATTGTATGTTTTCAACTGTCTGAATGTTATTAACCAAAAGAAAACATGAAATTTGATGCCTTGGCTGGATTTGGTGGCTCATGCCTATAATTCCAGCACTCTGGGAGGCTGAGGCAGGAGGATCACTTGAACCCAGGAGTTTGAGATCAGCCTGGGCAACATGGCAAAACCCCATCCCCACAAAAAATACAAAAATTAGGCACACATACACATAGTCCCAGCTACTCAGGAGGCTGAGGTGGGAGGATCACTTGAGCCTAGGAGATTGAGGCTGCAGTGAGCCATGAGTGTACCACTGCTCTCCAGGCTGGGTGACAGAGTGAGACTCTGTCTCAAAAAAAAAAAAAAAAAAAAAAAAGAATGTCCTACTGTCCTGTTTCATTTATTTTCTTTATTCATTTTAGCCACAGACCCCTTTGCTTCTGTTTTTGGGAATGAATCATTTGGAGATGGATTCGCCGACTTCAGCACATTGTCAAAGGTAATTTACAGTAATTAATGGGAAGAGAAAACATACTGTGTTTCCACCAAAAGAGCAATCCTCCTTTGAATTACATAGTCCTTTCACAAAGTTGCAACTTGATTTCAGTAAATCACAGCAAATGTTGATTTCAGATAGAAATGAAAGATAACATTATAGTTAGACACATTTCTTTATATAACTAGACTGTATTGATGGTATAGGTAATTATAATTTTCTATTGGCATGTTTGCTCAGCAACTTCATATTTAGTCTTCTGTCTTTTTAAACATGTTTCTCTCAGTTGAACCACATTTTCCCCCTGTTGACTGTCTGGGTCAATAGGTGTAAAATCTGGGTTTTTATTTCGTCCTCTCTGTGTTGGTTACTTGATTTTATGTTCTGAGGTTGTTAGGGTCAGTATTAAGGTAATTAATACACAAAGTCCAGTACTAAATGTCCACTACTTATTTTCCACTGTGGCTGTGGTATTGATTCGGGCTAAGAGAAAAGGAGGATTAGATTGTTGGTTCCTTGGTTCTCAACTGAGGGTTATTTTGCCACCAGAGGAACATTTGGCAATGTCTAGAGACCTTTTTGGTTTTCACAGTTGAGTAGGAGATGCTACTCATATCTAGAAGATAGAGATGAGAGATGCTATTTAATACAGTCCACTCTCTAGTCCCCCACAGTATGCAGTTATGTCCAGCCCAAAATGTCACTGTTGAGCATTGCCTAAATAAATGTAAAATTGTGAAGTATATGATTCATTATAGAAAAGTTAATCTTTTGTTAACTTTCGAAAGGCAGGGTCTTCAGACACACATTAAGATTTATCATTCCAGCCAGGCGCGGTGGCTCATGCCTGTTATCCCAGCACTTTGAGAGGCCAAGGCAGGTGGATTGTCTGGGCTCAGCAGTTCAAGACCAGCCTGGGCAACATGGTGAAACCTCGTCTTGACCAAAAAATACAAAAAGTTGGCCAGGCATGGTGGTGCGCACCTGTAGTCCCAGCTGCTTGGAAGGCTGAGGTGGGAGGATCACATGAGCCCAAGAGGCAGAGGTCGCAGTTGAGCCTAGATTGTGCCACTATACTCCAACCTTAGAGTGAGATCTCGTCTCAAAAAAAAAAAAAAATAAAAAAAAAATTATTTCGTGGGATCAGTTTGCTTCAAAAAATTGACTTTCAGGCTTACTTTGCAGTAACTCAAGCCTGTAATCCCAGCATCTTAGGAGGCTGAGATGAGAGGATTGCTTGAGCCCAGGAGTTCAAGACCAGACTGGGCAGCATAACAAAACCCCATCTCTACAAAATAAAAAAATAGCTAGGCATGTTGGTACATGCCTGTAGTCCTAGCTATTCAAGAGGCTAACTGAGGCAGGAGGATCCCTAGAGCCCAGGGGTTCAAGACTGCAGTGAGCTATGATTGTGCCACTGCACTCCAGCTTAGGATTAGGAGACTCCTGCCTCTTAAAAAAAAAAAAAAGAAAGAAAAAAACCATTGACTTTCAGGTTGTCTTTATAGTTTGTCAAGATGTCATTTTCTTTGCATTAGTATTAAATCTCATATTTAAGTTCATTAGGAAGTATGGAATCCATTTTTTTTTCTTTTCATTACCATTTAGATCAGATATTCTTTGTGGAAAGGCATTCAATCCCTTTAAAATGGGCCTCAGGTGGTTTTGCATTGAATATTTCCTGAAGCTTGACAAACTTTTAATCTAGATTGAACTTTTTTTGGTTTGATCTGTTACTCTTAATAAGTAATGATGTTAGAATCACTACTCATATAGAATAACTTTTTTTCAAAAATTTCTCCCATTGGACTCTGAATGCAAAGGTTAAAATGACAGTGGTCTCAGAATTAAATAAAACTGTATAATACTTAAGTCATTATTCGAAATGCTACATGACTACCACAGTTTGCTTGGTGTAGCCATGTATAACCATTTCTTTTTAAACAAAGGTCAACAATGAAGATCCTTTTAGTTCAGCCACATCGAGCTCTGTAAGCAATGCAATGATTACAAAAAATGTATTTGAGGAAACATCGGTGAAAAGTGAAGATGAACCCCCAGCGCTACCACCAAAGGTCGGAACTCCAACAAGACCCTGCCCACCACCACCTGGTATGAGATTTGGTACTTTTCTTCAGTCAACTACATGGCTTTTCTCTTTCTGAAAAGTATTGTGTGGAGCTTACTTATATAAAGGGCTTTAAATGAAACAAGTCAAACATATGTCAGAAGCTTCCTGCTGTCATTCATTCTGACCTAACTGCCGAATTACAGACATGCACCTAAGAGATCAGCATGTGTACATTTCATGAGCTGTCTTTCTGCTAAGACCTGTTTTTCTTTTCTTTTTTTTTTTTTAACTTAATCATTTCAGAGAGGCAGTAAATGGAAAAGGGAAAGTGTCAAGAAAATCTCTTTGCCTTTTAGAAACTCATTGATTATACATTTGAATAGCAGTTTCCTGTACTTTGGTGTTTTAATTATAATTTATTTAAGAGAAGATTGTTTCAAAGTCCTTTTCCCGTAACATATAAAGTCTTCCTTAAGTCCTTTAATGTGAGAATATATGGCCTCTTTAGTATCCAGAATTCAGCAATATAGTGATTTGAAACAAAGTATTGGTTTTCTTGAAGGAAAGTGGTATTTTAGCTAACTTAAAAGATTCCTTTTTTTTTTTTTTTTTTTTTGAGATGGAAACTTGCTCTGTCTCCCAGGCTGGAGTGCAGTGGCACAATCTCAGCTCACTGCAGCCTCAGCCTCCCGGGTTCAAGGGATTCTCCTGCCTCAGCCTCCTGAGTAGCTGGGATTACAGGCATGATCCACTATGCCTACCTAATTTTTATATTTTTAGTAGAGATTGGGTTTCACCATGTTGGCCAGACTGGTCTCTATCTCCTGACCTCAAGTGATCTGCCCACCTCGGCCTCCCAAAGTGCTGGGATTACAGGTGTGAGCCACCACGCCTGGCCAAGACTCTTTTCTAATAGTGATTTTTCTCTTATTTTTGTTTGTATGATTAGTATGTGTGTGTATGTATATGTTTAGCACTATACAAAGGAAAGTTTGTTTTGTTTTTAGGTCATAATAAGTGGGTAAAAGGATAATTCCTTGAGTAGTTGTAGTGCTGTTGGGCTATTATGTGAGAAGACACATTTTAGTACATTTTTTAAAAAATCATACCTCATTCCTTGGGAAATTTTCAGTCTCAGTAGTTACAGATTAATACTGCCTTTTCATCATAACCTTTCCATGGTCTTGAGCAGGTAAGTTTTTTTTCTTTGACTGAAAGGATTGCATGTACAATTGTTAATACCTGATAATCTGTTGAAAAATCAGGTAAATGAGTTAAGTGATTCCTTCTAAGGAAAAGTAGCTTATGTCATATATTTCTAGAAGTGAGGTTGCCAGAATATATTTAAAAATAAATAATGGTTAATTTGCACATTTAACTTTTTACACTTGCATGATGCTAATAGTGAGGTTGCTTTTTTAAATCTTAAGTAAAATAATATGCTAGTGCTTTTGTTAAATCTCAGAATCTTCAACCAAGTGATTGTATATCATTGTAAAAAGATTAAGGAAAAGACTGGTTTGTTGGAAAGAGCACTGAACTGGGAGTCTAAAAATCTGGGTTCTGTTTCTGGATGTTCCCTAACTGTGATCTTAAGTGTATAATTTCATATATCTGACCGTTGGCTGTTAAATATTGGCAACAATTCTAATTTTGCCTACTTTCACAGGATTATTGGAAGGATCCATTGAGATATGAGCATCTTTTCTAAGCAGCTACAGTGATGGAATCTGTTGTGTTATGATTACTATTACCAGCTTATGCATTTTAGGAAAAAAATATATTTAGAGATATTTTGATCCCTAATTTTATTATCTTTTCTTCAAGAAGTACTAAGTTTAAGTAAGACTTAGAGAACTTGTTTGAAAATGGTAATGAATTAGTGAGTGACTAATAGGACAGAATACTATTATTGGGTCAGAGATTATTTGATCAGCAACCACAAAGATTTAGGCCCTGGGCTTCAAAACATTTTTTCTTCATTTTGAAATACAGTAAATAACAAAAAATTGGCAGGGTTTTACTACAGTAATTTTAAAATTTTATGCTCCTAGGTATTGTATCTAGAACTAGAGAAAAATCAGAAGAATTTTCCCATTTTTCAGAGGTCATTTGCTCTTATTGCCACTAGTGGATAACTGTTATCAGGCTGAGGTTTATAACAGCAGAGGCAGGCCATTTCTGTCTTTATTCTTTATTATTCTCCTTCTGTTTAATCCATTCGTCTCTCTTTTTGGGAACATGCTGCTTGGTTGTGGCTGGGGGATGGTGGTATTCAATCTCTGGACAAAAATATGATTCCTGGCCCATCCTTGCTTTGCTATTTGTTTCATTAGCTGCACATAGCTGGAATCTATTTGAGAGATCATGTGTGAAGAATTTGAGGACAGATAGTTGGTGTTGCCATTTAAGACAAGAATGTGTTTTAGGTACTCAGTCATCCTCTACCCACGGTACTTTAATGCTATCTGTGTACATGTTCTTGTGTGCTTGTATTTGCTGTATTTACTGGTTGAATTAATTGTGATGATTTTGATCCAGGGAAAAGATCCATCAACAAACTGGATTCTCCTGATCCCTTTAAACTGAATGATCCATTTCAGCCTTTCCCAGGCAATGATAGCCCCAAAGAAAAAGATCCTGAAATGTTTTGTGATCCATTCACTTCTTCTGCTACTACCACTACCAATAGAGAGGCTGATCCAAGCAATTTTGCCAACTTCAGTGCTGTAAGTACTGTGAATGAGTTTTTTGGGGGAAAAATCTTTGAAGAGTTTTCAAAGATTATTTTGGAGTCTGCCAAGTTTGCATCATTTTAACTAAATTTACCAAGATACTAAAAATAATCTTTCGTTCTTCCCCCAAGAAAAACCTCTGTTTGATCCTGTTTTGACAGTTCTATGGTTGTTCCATTGCACAAATGATTTTAGTAGTCTTAGTTCTTGTCATATATACAAGTTGTTTTGTAAATATTTCTCTTAGTCTTGGTAATATAAGTAAAATCCTAACAGTTGTTATTTTGTGGATGGTTATGGGTGATGATGACTTAATGAACAATTACAGAGTCATTGATGTCTGCCCACTAGATGAACAATGCCAGTAATAAGTTTGTGCATTTGCAGCTGTGTATGTGTGGTTGTGTATAAAGTTTTAATGATTTCTGAGACCAGTCAGCAAATATTATATCAGAGGATAGGGCCAGAGATTATTTGAATAGAAAGTAAAACTATTAAACTTATATAGTCACTTTTAAAAAATGTAAATGCCAGTTTTATGAAATAAATAAATAAATGGTTGTCAGGATTTAAACAATCTTTAATTATTCGGAGAGATCTAATTCACTAACTTCTCATGTTTACTCTGCATTCTTTCAGAGATGTCTAAAATAGGAAGATCATTAGAAACAGTGGAAGGGTGCCATGATAACAGCATAAGCAGGGCGTATAAAATCACAGAAATGGGGCCACCAACCATGGAGGTATCAGTCTAGAGGGACATAAAGCAATGTCATATATTCCATCATTATTCAGTAAAAACAAGTTATTTTTAAATAAAATTCTTAGACTGGGTAACAAAGTTTCAGTTTCCCAGTTTTTTCAGGCAAAATAACCTTCGTTATCACTGCCTGTTCTATAAAACAGGAATTTTCTTCTGTTTATCACCTTATGCCCTTGAGATGATTTTGGAAACAGGAGATCTAGTGGCCAGGTAATTCTGCCTAATATTTCCCTCCTCAGTGTAGCATTGGGACATTCAACCAGTTGCTTTATCCCTGCAGCTATTTCTAGTTAGAAAGGAGGTAGTCAAGAATCTGCATGCAGGCTGGGCATGGTGGCTCACGCCTGTAATCCCAGCATTTTAAGAGACCAAAGTACTTTAAGCACCTGTAGTCCCAGCTACTTGGGGGGCTAAGGTGGTGGAGGTTGCAGTGAGCCATGATCATGCCACTGCACTCCAGCCTGGGTGACAGAGCCAGACCCTGTCTCCGAAAAAGAATCTGCATGCAACTAAGACGACTGAGCTCCCAGCTTTTGAATCTAAGTTCTGGTGGCTTCTCTTGAATATGAAGGAGCAAAACAGGAATCAATATTTTGAATATTGTAAAAATGGAGTGTCAGAATTATACAGACTTTTTTTTTTT